CCTCTGATGCTGCTTGGCCTGCTGTGTTCATCCAGCTCTACACCTTGATATCTCAGATTCTCCAGCATCTGCAGTTCCTACTATCTCTGATTAAAACTAATGTCCTCAGAGTGTTCATGTGGGCCTCTGGATTACTAATCCACTAACATTACATTATACCGCTGCCACCATTCAGATACCTGGACTGTCCCTTTCACATGGATATGAAAAAAAAGGAATAATAGAAAAGGAGAGTTTACCCTGGTGTCCCCAGTTCAACATTTATCACTCAATCAATAGCTGCTATAAAATCATGTTTGTGTTATGGAAATTTGCTGTGCAAACACAGGTTGCCATGTTCCCTACATTACAGCAGCAAGCAAACACAGCTTCATTTGGAGACCTGAAGTCAGAAAAAAGGTGTATCCAAATCTAAATTATTCTTTTTGAATGTTGCAAAGAGGCTATTATTATACCAGGGAAGCTTCCTCATTACTTTAAGGAACCCTTGCAGTCACCCCTTCAGATGCACTATGTGTCTTAACGTGCAGTCACATGTTCCCAATCAGTTTAACTGGTCAATATAAAATAATACATCAACTGCAAAGCATTGCAATCTGAAATAGGAATAGAATGTATTGAGAGTACAGATTGCAAAAAGCAAATAAGGCCAGTTGTTAGCAATGGCGTTGGTGATATTATTGCAAGACTTTTAATCCAGAAGCTCAGCTAATATGTCCTGCCATAGCAAATGGTGGAATTTAAATCCAATAAATATCTGGAAGTAAGAATTTAATAATGACCATTGTTGATTGTCAGGAAAAACACATCTGGTTCACTAATGGAGGGGAAGACACCTTGCTATCCTCACCTGGTCTGGGCCAGATGTGACTCCAGACCCACAGCAATGTGGTTGACTCTCATCTGCCCTCTGAATCTACCAAGCAAGTCATTGAGTTGTATCAATTTCTATGAAGTCTCAACAAGGAAAGGAAACCAGACAGACCACCTAGCATTGTCCTGGGCATCTGAAATGACAATGGTACAAGTAGCCCTATCAACCTTGTAAAGTCCTTCTTACTAACATCTGGGGGTTGTCTCACGGACTGGTCAAGCATCAGCCTGACATTGTCATCCTTATGGACTCATACCTGTCAGACAATGTCCCAGACAACACCATTAGCCTCCAAATAAAAGGGAGCGGATTTAGGACTGATTTGAGGAGCAACTTCTTCACCCAAAGGGTGGTGATTCTGTGGAATTCCCTACCCAGTGAAGCAGTTGAGGCTACCGTATTGAATGTTTTTAAGGCAAAGATAGATAGATTTTTGAACAGTAAAGGAATTAAAGGTTAGGTAAAGGATACCCAATAAGTGTTGCTCATTTTAGTGAACCACAGGTTGGACCTTGGGAAACACTTGAGGGAAAAGATGTAGGTTCAATAGGTGATTTCAAGACTCATTTTTGAGTGGGTTCCGTATAGTCAGAATCAAGAGCTTTTCATGTAATAAAGGTAAGCAGAACTGAAGCCCTGTGCCTGGGACTCAAAGGAATAATATCCTAGTGTACAAAAATAGGAAGAGGAACCATGTATCAGGCTCTTGAGCATGCATCCGAGAATATTTGTTTATGTTGCAACAAGGGAGTTTTGTACAGGCTCTTGTGGCTGGCTGCCAATTCTGGCTGGGCGTATTCATGGAGATCATATCTTATCGTATGTGCCTCTAACTGCCTCACCCACTTTACACAGTATCTTTTTTTTGCTGTCAAATGTTTTTACAATTGAAACAATATACCATTGTTAATTTTCTTAATGGCCTCTTATGATCCTTATTGCAGGTGTTTTGCTCTCAGCGAGTGTCCGGGAATTCCGTCTACAATCCCCACAAACTCCAGGACAAAAGTGAACTCAGTCTGTTGGTGCTTAGCATCTGTTGTAATGCTGTGTATCAACTTACAGATTCCAGAAAATGTAAGCTTCAAATGAATTGAAGATGTATTTCTCATTGTTACTCACATTTCTGAGGTCTCTCAAACTCTGTACAGGCTTCCTCAAATCAGAATTAACTACTTCACTGCTGGGATCAGTTTGTGTTTAGTGAAAACTGGCAAATGATCGACGTTTCCCTCACTGTTTTCTTAGCTATGCATCACATCTTATGTTTAATTTTCCACATTAATCAGCACATGCTAAATACTAAATTTAATTCAGTATTCTATGATTAATACTAAATAATGTGAAAATGAGAGCTTGTTTAAAATGTAAATTTACTTCCTGCATTTTGCATATTTGCTTTTAAATTGAATAAAATTGGGATTAAGATGATGAAAATATTGCTAAATGGGAACTGTTTATTGTTTTGGTGTTGATGGTCAGGATTGAGTGCTTCAGGGTCAGATGGAGCACCTGGTGCAAATAGGTCAAAGTAGACACACTTAAGGATGAAGTACTAAATAAGGACTGAGCTGAAACTCCTTCAATGTAGAGCTCAGATATGCTAACAAAGAGAGAAAATGCTTTCCAATTCAGGTCCTATCAAGGTTTGTTGCCCATTTATCAGCCCAACATGAGTACTTATTAATGTCTAATATGGCAAGTGGCATGTACCGTTCTTGCATGCACCTTGTGAAATTGCACCTTGAGAGGGCTTCAGTTTGATAGTTACCCAGGAGTTAGAGTAGTTTTTCAAAAGAAAAATTCTGTAACATTTCCTGGGTAACTATTACATTTAAGTGATTTGAAACCCTCCAAATTCTCTGTCAGGAATGGATTCTTTCAGAGTGTTCCAGGTGTAGGGGAAATTGCCCATCAGAAAATTCAATTTCCAGGGCAATTCCCATGGAGCCAACTGCTTCAGGTATTCCACAAGGTCCTGACGTGCAAATTCAATCTATGCTGCTCCAATGACTCCCTTACCATGTTTCTTTCATCACAGATGTTAGCATTTTAAAATTAATTCACAGGATGAGAGCCTTGCTGGCAAAGCTGGTATAAATTGCCCACCTTTAATTGTCCTCAAGAAGGAGGTAGCTAGCTGTCTTCTTGAATATAACTGAGTGACTTTCTAGCTCATTTGTAAGGGCTCTTAAGAATCAACCATATCATTGTGGGTCTGAAGTCACATATATTTCATTTCAGGTAAGAACAGCAGATTCTAATCCTGAAGAGAGTACTGGTAAACAGGATTGTTTTTTATTCATTTGTTTTAACTGCACTCAAGAGGTTTCCTGTTTTCCATTATTAACGCTTGTTTTTTATTCCAGAAGTTGAGTTTAACTTCACCAGCATTCACGGTGGGATTTGCATTTGTGTCTCCAAAGTTATTCACCCAGGCTTTCAGAGAATTGTCCAACAACATAATTTTATGACACCAATCTCAAATCTCACCCTAACCTATTTCCAACATATTAGCTTTTTTTTAATCTCAACTGTATCTAGTTGACTAATATCACTTTTCACCCAATGCAGATAACAACGGGCTATCATACTGGAGGCTAGGACACAAATGCTTTCCCTAAACCCTCTTGTTAATTTGACCAGGAGCCAGTCAGCTTTAAAGGAGCATTAAGCAGAGTCTAATTTTAATCAAGTTGGTCATGCGGTACTCCGTGGTACAGTAATACTGCAGATGGCAGAATGATGCAGCCTTGTAATACTCACGGGTTTCACAGAGACGCCCCATCCATCCTTCGGGACAAGTGCATGTGTTTGGTCTTTCGCAGGCTCCACCATTCTGACAGGGAAACCTGCAGACAGCTAATTGAATAGAAACAAGCAGTAAACCGTTAGTGTGAAGCATGAGTATTTAATCGAAGAGTATGTAGACTAAGTCCAGATAAATCCTGATCTACTAGTCTGCACCAGTACTTTTCCTTCCTTATTTTTTCATGGGATGTGGGCATTATTGGCAAAGTCAGCATTTGTTACCCATCCCAAATTTCCCTTCAGTGATTTGCTGGGCTATTTGGGAGGGCAGTTAAGAGCCAACCACATTGCTGTGAGTCTGGAGTCACATATAGGCCAGACCAGGTAAGGATGGGAGAGTCCCTTCTCTGAAGGACACTGGTGGACCAAATGGGGTTTTTACAAGAATTGACAATAATTTCATGATCACTGTTACAGAGACAAGCTTTACATTCCAGATTTTATTAATTGGATTTAAACTGCACTGGTTGGTGGGTGAAATTTGAATGTATGCATTTACAGGATTAGCTTAAAATTCAGTGTTACTAGTCCAGTGATATTACTACTACAATACCATCTCCCTGGTTCTTAGACAAGTGGAAATAGTTGATTGAAATGAATGAAATATTGGATGGAGTAAACAATATTGGTGGAGAAATATTGAGGGGTTTAGTACCTTTGAAAGAAAGGACTAAATTAAATGCATCCCAAGTTACTCAGAGGAGAAAAGTAGAAAGCAGAGATTTGGATTGTTATTTCTCAATCCCATCAGGCTGTACATCTGGTGTTGGAAAGCTAATGTTGCACTACTGCTTAAAGATGAATATACCCTATTATTACAATCCAGTCTGTTTATCTTTGCTAGTGGGCAAAATGTTGAAAAAAAAATACCAAGAGATAGAGCAAATTGACATTGAGAAAGGCATGATTGACGAAGGCAGTTAACATGGATGTTTTAAAGGAAGATCATGTCTAACTTGATTTGTCTAACTAAAATTTTCTGAGGATGTACATAGGAGGGTCATTGAAAATGCAACAGGAATTAAATGAAAATGTAAAAGGAGGGTCAAAGAAGATGCAACAGGAGGTCAGTGAGGATGAAACAGAAGGTTCAATGAAGATGCAACAGGAGAATCAATAAGTATGTAACAGGAGGGTGAATGAGAATATAACAGGTCAATAAAGATGTAATGGGAGGGTCAATGAGAATGAATGATTATGTAATGGGACGGTCAATGAGGATGTAATGGGGGAATCAGTGAGGATGTAATGGGAGGGTCAATAAGGATAGCATATTTGATGTAGTTGCCAAAGATTTTAGTAAGACCATTTTGCAAGATCTCACAAGACAGACAGGTTAGAAGAATGAGATCCAAAAAGTGACAAGTTAGATCCAACATTGGTTCAGTAGCAGGAAAGAAATGAATGACAAGTGTTTTGCTGATTGGATGATTGTTTCCGTTGGGATTCTGCAGGGCTCAGTACTGGGTTCCTTGCTTTTCATGCTACATAAAGATGATGTCGACTTCATTTTAGTGGACATGATTAAGATACAAAAATTGGCCATGTAGTTCACAGTGATGAAGAATGCTGTAGATTGACAGAAGATATCAATCCACTGGTCAGGTGGACAGAAAAGTCTGGGAAATTCTGTCTGGGAAAGTGTGATGGAATGCATTTAGGGTGGTTATGTTGGACTTGTATAAAACACTAGGTAGACCGCAGTGAGAGTCCTGCATACAGTCATCACAAATTACAGAAAAGATATGATCACACTAGAGAGAGTGTGAAATGGAGATTTGAGAGGATTTTGCCAGAAATTGAGAATTTTAGCTTTGAGGAAAGATTGGCTAGACTGGCTTTGTTTTCTTTTGATAGTGGAAGTTGACAGGAGATTTGATTAATGTACATGAAACATGAAGAGACCAAATAGAACATTTCTGTTCGCAGACCGGTTAATAAACATTGAGTTTAGGTTTAAAGCGATATTTGGAAGGATTGGAGGGGAACTGATGTGTAATTTTTTTCATGAGGATGTAACTGGAGAATCAATGAAGGTGCAACACTCTTTTTGAAAAATGTGGTTGGGGTTTGGAACTCACTGCCTAAGAGGGCAGTAGACACAGAAACCCTCAAAACATTTGAAAAAGGCTTGGATAAGCATATGAACTGCTGCAAAGCTCCAGGCACAGAGCAAGTACTGCAAAGTGGGTTAACTCTTTGACAGGCAAAAAAATTCAAGAGTTCTGAAGAAACGTCATATCAGACTTGAAATATTAACTTGGTTTTTCTCTCCACAGACATTGCCAGACATGCAGAGTTAATCCAACATTTTCTATTTTATTTTAGATTTCCAGCATACACAGTATTTTGCTTTTATTCAAGAAAGGAATGACTTCAATCTCTCTATATTCTGATGTAATGTCTGTACAGTACCAGATTCACTGGATTATTATTAAATGATTAAGAATGTGGCTCTAATGTTTAAAATGGTCTATCTTTCACGTGGTGCTAAATTAAAGTCAGGTTCCAGGAGTTGCAGTAAGTCTCGCCCTAGGACAGACACTTATTGAATTATGTTGGTTGTAGCTCAGTGGATAATGTTCTTGCCTCTGAGCTAGAAGGTCCTGGGGGTTCAAGATTCAGTTGAACTTGAACTTTATAACACAGGCCGAAGCTACCAATTCTGAGGGAATACTATGCTGTTGGAAAAGCTTCCTCCTGCATGAAGCCTTATACCAAGGTCCCATTGTTGTTTTTAGGTGGGAGTAAAGGTTCCCCAGCATTATTTTAAGGAGAAACAGATTCCCAATGTTCTGCCCAATATTTATCCCTAAATCAACATCATAAAACAGATTCAATGGTCATTATCATGAACTTTATGGGAGCTTGCTGTGTACAAATTGGATGCATTATTTCCAACATTGCAACAATGACTACACTTCAAAAGTATCATATAAGCTTTAGGGTGTAATGAAATAGTAATATTTGCTTTGGAAATGCAAGATATTTCTATTGCTTTACGCCCTTTTCTCAGTTATGCAATCTGACTTTGAATAAGGTATAAAGGATTCAGGCCTAACAAAGATTTTTCTTCCCTGTAGTCTCAGCAAGATAAGAAAACCCCCAGAAAATTCTTGATTCTGTAATAATGTGAGATCACACTCCCACTATTTGCAAAGCACAGTTTCTGAAGAAAACCAATATGGTGAAGTAACTTTCTTGTTTTGACTGAGGTCTTTTTTATTTGTTGCGGTAATTCATCTGTGTGTATTGTGCCTATGATTTTGTACCATGCCACTACTTACCAGTCTTGTGTAATCTCAGTTTCAATTTCATTGTAGTCCCTAAGCAACAAAGCTTCCAGAGTAACATCAATGACTTGCATTCATAAATCACCTTTAATACGATAAAACATGATAAGGTGTTTCACAAGAGGTCTCAACCAGAAAATGATGAAAGGCTGTGTAAGGAGATATTTGGTCAACTAACAGAAAGCTTAATTGAGGAAATTGTTTCCAAGGAATGTTTTAAGAGGAAACCTGAGCATATAATCCAGGCTGATAATCACTGTGTAATAATGACTGAGTACTTCTAAGTGTGTGAGCTGGACCATTTCACAACAGTAATTATTGATTTGTAGATGCTGATGTGTAAGTTCACCTGTCAAACTTTAGTTGGATTTGGAACTCACTGCCTGAGAAGACAGAAGATACAGAAACCTTCATCGCAAACTTTAAAAACTTTAAAAGGTTCCTCCAAAGGTGACTTACACACCAAGTAGAAAAGTGAATCACCATCATGGATGATGGTCACCATTCTGAAATATCACTGGCATCTGATACAAAGGGTGAGTGTGTCTTAAACTCCCTACAACTGCACCATACAGAGCATATCTCCTGCTTGATCTCTGCACCCAGCTATAACACACTATGATGTAAAACACACATTTGTGGGGTGAAAAATTAAGTTGAGAATGAATGTGACCATAGCCTGTTTTAGCTGTAAATGAAGTTCAGTTTATATGTTGAAAATGAGCAGAACTATGTCTTTTTGGGAGGCCAGAACAAAGAGAGTTATCTGATAAGCCAGGTCAACTTAGATGTTGTGATTTATGGCATTTTAAACATGAGTTAATATGAGCTAAGGCAAGAGTCGATTTGTTCTGAAGTCTTCAGTTATGGGAAAAACTGCAGACATTTGAGATTAAACCACTTAGCAAGGCCACTGACACTCTCAACTATTACTGCAGATGAGGTAGTGCCTTTAGAAAAGTAAGGACAGACAGAGAAAAGAAAAAGTGTGATGGTTAGTGGCAATTGTACTCTGCAGTTTGGTCAAGTTTGTGATTTTTCAATACCTCTGCAAATGGGGGGTCTGCTCCAGGTTCCATTCTCTAGGCAACTACTTGCTCGAGACCCTTCCAGCATGTATCCACCATAGCAGGAGTATGTTGCTATATCTCCCACGTGGTGAAGCAATCCTCGTACAAAGGCATTTTTAACTTGAACTGGTGGTCCGCATGTTATTTCTTTGTCAAAGAGAAAAAAAAGAGAAATTACAATTTATGAAATACTCATGTGGAATACTTCTTGAGGGAAAGGACCCTTGTTGAGAGATCACCAAAATGCAAAGAGATCAGGAGCACCACAAATATTCAGAATTGGAGAAGGGTCACTGGACCTGAAAGATTAACTCTGTTTCTCTTTCCACAGATGTTCCCAGCAATTTCTGTTTTTGTTTCTGATTTGCAGCATCTGCAGTTCTTTGGCTTGTTTTATTGTATGAAACAAACGTGAATGCCTGTTGTTTGGGAACATCTTTCACACATTTTATTTTGGTGCTCATTGAGGTAAAGAATGACTGGTTAGAATGTCTGTCCCTGTACACATTCACATAGTGAACTAAGTTATGTCATTATAAGTTGCTACTTTAGTCCAGTACTTTGTATATAAACTTTCAGATTGAGACCACGATTGAGAGTTACATTTTTTTCGAATCCTGCCTCCTAAGCAATCAAACACAACCCCTAATCTGTCATTCTGTAATGGAAACACAATAACTGCAAATACATGAGATTAAAGTCACTAGAGCTCAAACTCCACACCACAGAAACAACAGGCCGGTTTTTCTGGGGTTTGGCAGTCTCATGTAGATTGTCACTTTATCCCTTCTTTCTTTATAAAAGATTGTATTTCTGAGAGGAGATTCCAGTCAGGGGTGCCTCAGAAATGTGGAGCTGTACTTCCATTCTGACAGCTCTCTTGTAGTGTAGTACTGTCAGGAGAAAGAAAATCACACCCTCTTTTCACAGCAGTCAGCTGCCATATTCTGAACTCGAAAGGTCCTGATGCCACTTTGGCAGCTAGTCTCAAACAGTAAGTACATAAATTAAATGTGACATTAGGATACTGAGAAGGGAAAGTGCCAATTGGGTGGGATATAGGATGCCAACTCATGAGGAGCAGGGTGCCATTATATAAGGTGCAGGGTGGGTAGGCTGTCAGCTGGATAGGATGCCAATTGGGAAGGGTTTAAGGTTCCAAGCGAGTAGGGTACAAGGTGGTGTAGGGAGCAAAGTAAGTGATGCAGTGTTTAAAGAGATCAGGGTCGGTGGGAGAATTCATGTCTAACGGGCATCGGGGAAGGCAGGTATCAGGTCTGCAGGCAGTGGGAGTAGGGCAGGGTTGGTGGTTGTGTCCAGCACTAGCACTGGTGCGTCCAGGCTGCTGGCAATGGTGGGGTTGAAGATTGGGTAATGGTGGCAGCAGCAGAGTTGTTGGGTCTGATGCTGGTCTAGCAGGTCAGGGATTGGATCCAGGGGCCTCTGGGGGGAAGGCAGTGGTTGTAAGCTCTAGCACTGACAGTGGTGTCATGAGGTTGGGTTTGGCGGGTGTCAGTTTGGGGTGGGTGTCTAGCAGCAAGGGTGGGGGTGATTGTCGGGGGTCAGATCCAGTCTACATGTTCGAGGTCTTGGTGAATGTCAGGTCCCTGGAATTTTGGGGTCCCCAGGAGGTGTTAGGTCAGGGTCGGGGTCTGTATGAAGAAGTGTAGTTAGAAGTATTTGTGGCAACTATAGGATCAGTTTAGTAGTTAATGGGGATTTAGACCACATATTTAGTCGTCTAACTTTTACGGAGTATCTATTTTACTTAATTTCATGATTTAAGAGGAGACTTTCAGAGGGTTCCGGATGAAAAAGAAATTGCCCAGCAGAAAGTTCAATTTCCAGGCAAAACTATGTAGTGATTCCATAAGGTCTCCACACACAACTCCCATCTACACTGGAATAATGACTGTCTCGCCAGATTTTCCAATGGCGAGACAGTTCTGCAATGTGCAATGGTTGACATATTATTATGAATGTTTTCTGTTGATGGGATCTTGAAGATTCTTGGTCACAGACTTAGTTTAATCAGTGAATTTAGGAATGGATGGACTGAGGCAGGTCATTAAATCCCCACCTGTAGATCTGACACAGATTACCCTCATCATAGATTCTTTCTCAGCTGTTTTAATCCTTGAGGGAATATTTATCCATTCTCCTCAATGTAGAAAGGTTATCAGGCAAAAATGCTAGAATATTCAGCAATAAGAACAGAATATGCAAGTCAATAGCCTTCTGTCAGAATCTAATTAAAATCTTGAATCTCTCTCCCTAACAGCACTGTGGCTGTACTTACCCTGTGTGCAGTTCATGCAGATCAAGACAGCAGCTCACCACCACCTTCTCCAGGGCAGCTCACCACCACCTTCTCCAGGGCAGTTATAGATGAGCAATAAATATTGGCCAAGTCAGCAACACCCACATCCCAGGAACAAATAAAAGCCCTAACTGTACTGGCACTTTCTAGAATAAATAAGCGAAAGCTTGGTAAGGAGGGAAGTTTTAAAGAAGGCTTAAAGAGTTGGGGAGAGAATTACAAAGCTTGGAGCCTAAACCGCTGAAGAATTGGTCACCAATGGTTGACTGATAAAAATCAGGATTGAGCAGCAGTCAGAAAAAGAGAAATGTAGATATCTCACGGCAGACGTAAGGCTGGAGGAGACTAAAGAACTAGAGGCAACATGAGACTTCTCACACAAATCTGGAATGCACTAGAGGTGGAAGCAGCTTTACCAGAAACTTTCAAAAGGGAACTGGATAAATATTTGAAAAGGGATAATAATTTCAGTGTTTATGGGAAAGTGTGGAAGGGCGGTAGAAGTGGGACCAATTAAATAGCTGTATGAAAGAGTCAGGCATGATGGGCTGAATGGCTTCTTTCTGTACAATTGGATGATTTAAATCTATGCCTACCGCTCTAACATTTAACATATACACATTTCCTCATTCTACATTACTGGTAAGGAATAACATCACATCTCTTTACTTACTACCACAATAGACAGAAATTGGACTCCATCTCTGTTTATTATGACAAGTAATGACTGATAGTCTGTGTAGTGATAACCTTTCTGGACTTAATGGTCACCTTTGGTACACACAGATAACTGTGTCTGTAAGAACAACACCCTGTGGCAAGTTGGGAGGAACAATACAATGTTTTGCTGTTTAAACAGAACACACTGAAGTCCTTTGCATAACACCTCGTTTAAATTAATAAGCACATAAGCAAAGTTTGCAATTCTATGCTTTCCAGCCAACTGTTTAGAAAAATGATTGGTGACCTCATTGAAACATGCAAAAGTCTTACAGGGCTCAATAGATGCTGAAGGGATGTTTTCCTTTGTCTACAACCAGAGGATCCAATCTCAGAATGAGGGATTGGTGATTTAGGACACATATGAGGAGGAATTCTTCACTTAGAGGGTGATGAATTTTTGAAACTCTCTACTCCAGAGGGCTGTGGAGGTTCTGACATGGAATATATTCAAGACAGAGACTGATAGATATAGAGAGAGTGTGGGAAATGATACTGAGATACAACATCAGTCATAATCCAGTTGAATGGTAGAGCAGGCTCAAGGGATCAAATGGCTTACTTCTGCTCCTATTTCCTATGGTCTTCTACAAACTCTAAACCTAGGGACCATCAATGTAAGACATTTAATAATAAAGCCGATAAGGAATTCAGGACAAATTTCTTTACATAGATAGTGGTGAGAATGTGGACCTCTACCACAGGAAATGGTTGTGATGAATTTTGCAAATGCAGTTAAGGGCAAGTTGGATAAGTTGATGAAGAAAGGAGGGATATTTTGTAGGATGAGATGAAGAGAGGGTGGGAAGAGGCTTATGTGGAGCATGTACATTGTTACAGATAGGTTCAGACAAATGCTTTTTGTGCAATTATTTATGATCAAAATGGAGATGGTCACTATTCAAAGTTAATTCCTTTACAACAATTACATAAATGAAATCAAATGAGATTAATATTGATTTGATGGTTGATGGAAGTTGACGAAGGAATTTTGTATTGTTAAATAGCAATGTGCTTCAAATTGTTATTCACTTCTTTGATATCCATGTTTCACTATGGATATCTCTTTGATCAGGCCATGATCAACATGCACAATAGTAATGTATCCCTTTTAACAGTAAGTCTTTTTATCTGATGCCAAAGAATACAGTCTAACTTCTTTATTATTGACAAATCTCATTGTGTGATACAAACAACCTCCCTTTTGCCTCAAGGTAAAAATACCATGGATGATGGAAATGTGAACGAAAAAAAGCAGAAAAATACCGGAAATTTTCTGCAGTCTTGAAGGCACCCGCAGAAGAGGAAACAAAATTAACATTTTGGGTCAATGTTGTTAAGACAGAAGATGTCAGAGACTGAACAGATTTTCAGCAGCTGCTCATTTCTTGATGCTTTGCATTTCCTATGAAAGGTCATCGACCCAAAGCAGGGGCAGTTTGAACTCAATGGACTGGATGGGAACTCCACTGGATTGAGTGGAATCTGCCAGATCTTTCTCCATTAATCCAGAATTCTGGATTCCTTGCCTGAAAGGGCATTGGAAGCAAATTCAATTTTTTTTCCTTTATTCTTTCACGGGATGAGGACGTTGTTGCTAGGCAGTATTTATTGCCCATCCCTAATTGCTCAGAGGGCAGTTAAGAGTCAACCGCATTGCTGTGGGTCTGGAGTCACATGTAGGTACAGACCAGGTAAGGATGGCAGTTTCTTTCCCTAAAGGACATTAGTGAACCAGATGGTATTGTCCCAACAATCAATAATGGATTCATGGTCATCATTAGATTCTTAATTCCAGATATTTATTGAATTCAAATTCCACCATTTGCTATGGTGGGATTCGAACACGGGTCCCCACAACATTATCTGGGTCTTTGGATTAACAGTCCAGCGATAATACCAATTAGGCCATCACCTCCCCTATTGGAACTTTGTAAAGTAAATTTTTTAAAAAGTTCATTCATGGGTTATGTTCGTCACTGGCTAGGACAGCATTTATTGCCCATCCCTAATTTCCCAGAGGGCAGTTGGGAGTCAACCACATTGTTGTGGGTTTGGAGTGACATATAGGCCAGACTGGGTAAGGATGGCAGTTACTTTCCCCACA